GGGGGGGGGGGGGGGGAGAGGAAGAGAGAGAGACAGCGAGAGTGAAAGGAGGAAAAGATGATTGCCTGGGAGCCCCATTCCATACCTGAGACATATACGAAATGGGCATTCCAACCATTTGGCAGAAACTTCACCATTAATAAACGTTTGCTCTGCCATCTTAGAGATGTCTCCTTTGATTATTTTACATGTAACGAATAGCCCCAGCTCGTTTTAACATTTGGTGCCTGCAAGCCAAATTCCGCTTCCCCCCCCCCACACCTCTTTTTTTGCATGGTGAAACATTTATCGTCCGTAACGGATTGCTGCATCCTTGTTCGCTTTTTTGAAAAAGGCAGCTCCCTCCGTTCTGGAGAAACTGACCTGGGCAACAGTGAAAGAAGACCAGGGAGGAGAAAGACCAGGGGGAAGACTCTCTCACACACACACACACACACACACACACACACACACACACACACACAGAGAGAGAGAGAGAGAGAGAGAGGGCTGGATGCAAGTAAAGAGGAGAAGCAGAAACCAATGACAGAAGGAAAGAGCCAAGCTAATTAGAGCTGCTTAACATGTAAGAAATGTATCCTGTCGGTGTATAAGTTTGCAGAGCAACAAATTAAAGGAACAGAATTACCTGCAATTGGTTACTCTCTCTCTTTATCGCTCTCTCTCTCTCTTTCTCTCTTCTGGCTATTGAGAGCATAATTGAGTTAAATTTCACAGAGATTTATAATGGCACTTAACTGTTTTGGTGGAATGGGTAATCAGATTTTTCAAGTTCGTTTTTAGACGCTTGGGAGGGGGCACTGTGAAAAGAATTCTTCAGCTCCTCAGCCGTACTTTCTCCAGCCGTCCAAGGGGGCTGAAAAAGATGAATGAAAAGCACAAAGGATTCTGGGCATAGGTTTGGGTGGGAAGAAGTGTGTGTGTGTGTGGGGGGGGTGTCAGGAGGCAGCTTCCTTGTTTATTGATAAACTGACCGCAGTGAGAGGGAAAAAGGACTTGGGAGCAAAATGACCACGTAGCAGATTGTCATTAAAGCGTCATAGCATAGGATGTGAGATCCTGTGACTGAAAGATCACCTTTCTCAATCTATGTTGGACTACTAAACTCAACATCCACAGACAGCAATCAAAATTTGGGACACATCTGGAAAGAACATGATTAGGGAAGGCCATTCAAATGCCCGAGTCAGCCAGTCCTACAGTTTCAAATGTCAATGGCCACAATTTAACATAAGAGCAAACTCACATGTGATTTTCCCCCTCTCATTTTTAACATACAGGCGTACCTCGGTTTACAAATTTAATGCATTCTCCGGTATGTTACGTAATGCAAATATATATATATATATTCATAAACCGAAATGCGGATTGCCATAGGAAAGGGGGCGGCACTATAAACCTCCGGGCACAATGGATCCTGGGGAAACGTGCTTCGTACCGTGAACAAAAATCGTAAACCGAGGCATTATTTTCAATGGATTTCCGTTTGTAAACCGAAAACTACATTAACCAAGGCATTCGTACACCGAGGTACTACTGTACATGAATTAGATTTGTGAATGTGCTAAAGCGTCGTGAACTATGTTAATCCTTTCTATCTGTAAATTTGTAAATCTTTAAATCCTCTCTACTCTCTGCAAATACTTCCCTTTACAACAAGAGTTGTAGAGGTAGCCTAGCTCTGCTTCAACTCCCTGTTCAGGATGGAAGCTGTCCCAACTACCAGCTGGGAACTTCCTTCCTGAACAGAAAGTTAGGACAGAGCTAGGAGACAAGGTCTTCCTAGTCATGCCTTTTTTTCCTCCAGGTGAGCCGTATCTAGTGTGTGGGTCTCTCCAGGTGGAACTCCCAGAATGGAGACCTATGGGATTTGAAGACCAAAAGAATAATAAAAAAATTCCCATTCTTCCTGCAGACGTTGTAAAAGGCAACAGTCAAATAATTTTGGATTTCTGTCATCAACACATACATACCAACACATAAGAGCGTGCTGGTCTGGAGGATTTTGGGTTTTTTTTCTTTGACCAATGCCATGAAATACCAATTTTGTCTCTTTGCTTCTTTGCTGACAGGAGATCCAAGGGACCCCAGGAAGCACAGCCTAAGGGAGAGACACGCAGAAAGCAAGCACGATGGAGGTAGAGCCTCGGCTTCCAACTAGTCCCAACGGCAAGAAGAAACCAAGAAGGGTCGAGAGGGAGGGAAGAGCTTGGGCCTGAGTCACAAGCTGCCTTCTCCGAAATCTCCTCCTCCTTTGGAGAGACTTTAAAGCAAGCCTGACACCATGGTGGAAGAGCCGAATGGCCCGGAGGACCTTTGCTGAACCTTCTGCTGGTGGCACCCAGCAGGTCGTCCCTGAGCAAGACGCATTCTTTTTTGGCCCCCTTCTCCATCCGATGTGTCCCTTCGTGGTTCGAAACCATGAAGAGAAAGGAGAGAACGGCGCGGCTGCCCGAGAAACACTAGCCAAAGGCGGGCCTCTGCCGTAAGGGGGAAAGAACACCTGTCTCCCGACCTCCAGCAGACCACGGGTGAACCCCTGCCTCCGTGTGTGCCCTTCCAAATGGCAGGCCATCATCGGTGGGCGGCGACGTCAGCACTGTGCGCCTGCATGGCGGCCGTGTCGCTCCTGTCCGTGGGAGAGGTGCGGGCCGACTGTTGGCTGATTGAGGGGGAAAAGGGCTTTGTGTGGCTGGCCATCTGTAGCCAGAACCAGCCCCCCTACGAGTCGATCCCTCAGCAGATCAACAGCACCATTTTGGACTTGCGGCTGAACGACAACAAGATCAAGAGCGTGCAGTTCTCCTCTCTCAGCCGCTTCAGTAACCTCACATACCTCAACCTGACCAAGAACGAGATCTCGTACATCGAGGACGGTGCCTTCTCAGGACAGTACAACCTGCAGGTGCTGCAGCTCGGCTACAACCGCCTGAGGAACCTGACGGAGGGGATCCTCCGAGGACTGGGGAAGCTGGAGTACCTCTACCTCCAGGCCAACCTCATTGAGACTGTCACCCCCAATGCCTTTGGTGAGTGCCCCAACATCATCAACATCGACTTATCCATGAACAAGATCCAGCGGCTGGACAGCAACACCTTCCGGGGCCTGAACAAGCTCATGGTCTGTGAACTCTACAGTAACCCTTTCTACTGCTCCTGTGAGCTCCTGGGCTTCCTTCAGTGGCTGGAGGGCTTCACCAACATGACACACACCTACGACCGCATGCAGTGTGACTCCCCGCCGGACTACTCCGGCTACTACCTTTTAGGCCAAGGGCGGAGCAGCTATCGGAACGCCTTCGGCATGCTCTCTTCTCTCTGCACCGGAGGCCCCTACACCATGCCGCCGTTCGTCATCCTGCCCAAGAACCCGGTGACCACGGCGCCTCCGGAGAGCCCTTGCCCGGAAGAAGAATGCTTCTCCGGGGACGGCACCACGCCGCAGGTCTCGCTGCACACCCCTGTGATCGACCCAGGTTTGTATCCCACTATGAAAGTGAAACACGTGACCCACAACTCGGCCGTCCTGAGCGTGCAGATCCCGGTGCCCTACAGCAAAATGTACACCCTGGCCCAGTTTGAGAATGGCCGGTACAACGTCCTCGCCAAGCTCTTGAAGAAGAAAGAAGACATCGAGCTGACGGACCTGGGCCCGAACGAAGATTACACCTACTGTGTGATGTCCTCTAACCGCGTTTCGCGGTACAATTACACCTGCCTCACCTTCAACCTCAACAAAGAGAACAAGGAAGAGCCAATACAGAGCCCTTCGACTGCCACTCACTACATCATGACCATACTGGGCTGCCTCTTTGGCATGGTGATCATCCTCGGAGTCGTGTACTACTGCCTCCGGAAGAGGCGTCATCAGGAAGAAAAGCACAAGAAAGCTGCCATCAACATGAAGAAGACCATCATTGAACTGAAATACGGCCCGGAAATGGAGACAACCAGCATTTCGCAGCTGTCCCAAGGTCAGATGTTGGGTGGCGAGACCATGACCCGCATCCCTTATCTTCCCTCTGTGGGGGAGGTCGAGCAGTACAAGCTGATCGACAGCAGCGAGACCCCCAAGGCTACCAAGGGCAACTACATGGAGGTGCGGACAGGTGAGCAGCCCGAAAGGAGGGAGTGTGAGCTCCCGATGCCGCCCGACAGCCAGAGCTCTGTAGCAGAGATCTCCACCATTACCAAAGAGGTGGACAAGGTGAACCAGATCATCAACAACTGCATTGATGCCTTGAAATCAGAATCCACCTCTTTCCAGGGGGTGAAATCGGGGGCCGTGTCCACCGCCGAACCTCAGCTGGTGCTCTTGTCGGAACAGATCCCCAGCAAACACAGCTTTCTCGCCCCGGTTTACAAGGAGAGCTACAACCACCCACTGCAGAGACACCACAGCATGGAAGGTCCTCCGAAACGTTCTAGCACTTCTTCCAGCGGCTCCATACGGAGCCCCAGATCCTTCCGCTCCGAGGGCTCCGGCCACAAATCAGAAGCCAAATATATCGAGAAGACGTCTCCGACCACTGACACCATTCTCACTGTGACACCGGCAGCCGCTATCTTGCGGGCCGAGGCCGAGAAGATCCGCCAGTACAGCGAGCACCGGCATTCGTACCCAGGGTCCCATCAGGGAGAGCAACACGACAACATGGGCGGGCGCAAGCCTTCTTCCATCTTGGAACCTTTGACCAGGCCCCGCCCGAGGGACTTGGCTTACTCCCAACTCTCTCCTCAGTACCACAACCTGAGCTACACCTCCAGCCCCGAGTACACGTGCAAACCATCCCACAGCATCTGGGAGCGCTTTAAACTCAACCGCAAGCGGCACAAAGACGAGGAAGAGTACATGGCTGCCGGCCACGCCCTGCGCAAAAAGGTCCAGTTCGCCAAAGACGAGGATCTTCACGACATCTTAGACTACTGGAAAGGGGTGTCCGCGCAGCACAAGTCCTGAATCCTCAGCCTGCTTACTCGTGACTTAACCACTGGACCAAACAAAACAATCAAAAACCAACCAACCCATAAAAATCAGCAGCAGCTATTCTTTTTTTCATCCAGACTTGTCTTTAAAAAAAGAAAAATGAAAAACAAACAAGTAACTTATGAGCATCTATAACTATTCTATATAATGTATCAGAGAAAGAAAGGGAAAGAGATTGAGAGGGAGAGCGGAAGAAAGGTATTTGGTCACCATCTCACATTTGGTGGGATCCGCACCAAATTTGAATGGAACCAGGGGAACCCAAAACGCTTAAAAACAGTGGAGGAAAGATAAAGAGAATTTTGTTTTCTTAAAAGAAAATAGAGAGAGAAAGAGAGAGAGAGAGAGAGAGAGAGGACAGAAAAAGAGGGGAAAAACCTGAATAAAAGTGAAAGCAAGCGAGCAAGCAAAACGAGAAAGAAAGGAGAGAAAAATAAAAGTGTAGGAGAGTCAGGCAGAAAACAAAACGGAGTACGGCGTAAGCACTACCGCGTCGCATGGCTCCTTCTGTGATTTTTTTTTTTGTGGACTCTGTGTACAGATTTGTCTTCTTCCTTTCAGTAACCAAAAAAAAACTAAAAAAAACAAAAGTGAACAAAGAGAGAAAGAGAGAGAGAGAGAGATTAAGGAGGAAAGAGAGGGAGAAGGAGAGGTGAATCAGAAAAAGTTAGCAGAAGGATTAAAAAAAATAAAACAGAAATCCTTTGGGCCTTTTGCAAATGGAGTCTTCCAGTTCAGACTATTAATTGCCTGAAGTCCCATTTGTGCATTTTTTTTCTTTCTTTCTTTTATTGTTTCCTCTTTTTTGGGGTGGAAGGGTCTGTCACAATGTCGCACTGTAAAACTGACACCGTTCTATTGTACAGAGAGAGAGAGAGAGATTTCTATATTTGCAAATGTTTGCTGTATAATGAGAAAGAGAGAAAGAGAGAGGAAAAAGAAAAAAAATATTACATCTACTAAAAGAAATATATCTATATATTCACCTGTTTGTACCAGGTTTTAATCATGGATTTTAGAAAAAAGAAAAAAAAACACTCTACCGCTGGGTTTGGTTTGAAGTTTTTTTATATATATAAAAAAAGTTTTGGTTTGTTGTTCGTTGTGGAAGCGGGGTGGGGGTGGTGTGTGTGTGTGTGTCTCTTGCTTTCCATGAATGTTTGTGACTTTTAATTATGGACAACTTCAAGTGCACTGAGAAAAAGACACATTCTGTAAGAGAAAACAAGAGTTGCTCTCGTTATTCAGGGGTCAATGGGACATGGTCTGGAAACAAGAAGAGGATGATGTGGCAGGAAAGTCGTTACAGAGGACGGGTCTCTCTGGCAGTGCCACGGACCCATTTGCTTCAAAGGCAGGACTGTCCTAGAGGTGTGTCACTCCCCAAGGACAGGCAGTATGAACCATAAAGGCTTCATCTCTTACACCAGTGGTCTCCAACCTTGGGCCTCCAGATGTTCTTGGACTTCAACTCCCAGAAATCCTGGCCAGCAGAGGTTGTGGTGAAGGCTTCTGGGAGTTGTAGTTCAAGAACATCTGGAGGCCAGCAGAGGTGGTGGTGAAGGCTTCTGGGAGTTGTAGTTCAAGAACATCTGGAGGCCCAAGGTTGGGGACCACTGTCTTACACCACCTTGCTATCCCTTATTCTCTCTCTTAGAGCTGTGCTGATGGTTAGGTTTGGACCACCACTATTCTGCTGCTGAGGGAATTCTGGCAGGGGTTGTCTGAAAACACCCGTCAGCACACCCATAAGATTTGTCCCCCCCCTTGGTTAGGACTGTATGAACAGCCACACTGGATCAGACCAGTTCAGACCAGCACTCTGCACCCAGGGTGACCAATCAGCTGAAGCCCACCCATTAAGAATGGGATGCAATCTTCCCTTTGTACTTCATGGATGTCTCCTCCAGAGTTAAAAGTGAACAAAGAGAGAAAGCACAGTTTTGAGACATCTAGGGCTAAATCCAGTTCTCCGTTTCAGTTAGAGCAGAGCTCTTGAAGAGTGCCAACGTCGAAAAGGGTTGGCTTACCGAGTTTCCATTGATCAATAAGTATACTCTGCTTGGGTTTAACAGCTGGGTTTATCCCATGCTGGCCTTGATCCGGAAGGTGATAAAACAGCCCCCATGATTGCGGGCGACCTTCTCCTTTTGGATTTGATTAAGCCTGCCTCTAATGTCAACCAAATGGACAGCCGTCACAACATCTCAAGGTTCAAAATCCCATAGTTTGCCAGTTGGTTGGAGGAAGGAATACTTATTTAAAAGGTGTCCTTAACCTCCCGCCTTTCAGTTTCACTGGACAAACCTATATTCTAAGCAATACCATCAACCACCAAATTTGCAATCCTCGTGTGGGTGTGCGATGGCAGCGGGAAGGAACACAACCTTTCAGGTAAGGAACGTCCATTTGCAGACGAAAGCAAACGCCATGTTGTTTGATGGAATCAACTGAAGAGAAGAACTGGTAATACACACACAGCTATTTCACTAACCTGCAGAACTAACACACAAAGCAGCAAAGGAGAGTCAACAAACATCTACCCAGGCCCACCAACAGCAGTTATACTTAGTCTCAGCAGAAGAACCTTGATTCCGATGACCTATTTATATGTACTATGAGGGTCACCATGAGTTGGATGAGACTTGATGGCACATAAGACAAGTCATGTAGCATCACTCTTGGGCACTGTAGGAAGAGCACTCAAGACAGGCAGCAGGAGGAGTAGCCCCAGCTGGTGCTCTGGCTACCGCTCAGAGCTCCAGAAAGTTACATTGGGTGGCTACGGTTTCTAGAACCCTGCAAGCCAGCTGGGCGAGTGGTCATCCACCCCAAGGGCCAATAGCTTCAAGATGGAAGATCCAGCAACCCTAGCTGAGCCTGGTAACAACGCAGACAACCCTGGCCTCCCTCGTGGCCTCTTTCTTGCTAAGCCACCCACAAAGGTGGGTCTCTTCCAGCTGCCTCTTTCTCTCGCCTTTCTCCCCCCCTTTGTGCACCCTTTCCTAGGGAAAGCTCAGTGGAGGCCGGGGTTTACTAGCGGTGGCGCTGCTCTGCTCTCATTTCCGTATCTCAAAAGTCGCTCTGACAGGCGCTCTAGAAAAAAAAGGTTATGCCTCTTTGGAATGGGTTGAGGGGAAGGGGAGCCAAGTTCAGGAGCAAGCCGATGACGACGGAGGCAGGAGAAGCGGGTGGCGCACACAAGTTCACTACCCGCGTAGTTATTTGTGCAGACAAGAAGCCATTAGCGGGGCTTCATTACAAATGACAAGCCATTTCCTCAGGAAAATATCTACTCAGCATAAATAAAAGGCAGGTTTCGTCATTCCCGACCATCTCCCTCCCTCCCTCTCCCTCCTTTCAGGGCTCCGCTGTGCTTGGCCTTCCAAATTCTCTCGTGCCCAAGGGCTGGGACTGGAGTGCAGAAAAGGCACCCAGGTCCTGCGCTTTGAACCAAGGTCACCCACGGAGGAGGGGAGCCTCAGACCCACCCACCCCCTAGTCTCGGATCATGTCAAAACAAATTCTCAGCAATTGTGTCTCTCACTTCCCCAACTTTCTCTACAAATCAAACGGACCCACCGAGAGAGCTGCCAGGTCTCAGGGCACTCCCCGGTCCTCGGGCTCTCCGGGCAGTGCTGGAGGAGAACGTTGCTGGAGTCTTGTGCCTAAGAAGCTATTATTAAAGGCTGGGTGCCCGGGCATCCCCAAGACCAAACTTCAGCAGGAAAGCCTCAGTGAGCCCGTGGCCCTCCACATGAGGCACCCACTGTTCCTCTTCCCCATCTTCTGCTCTCAATCATGGCTGCTTGGAGTGCCAAGGTTGGGTCTTCTTCGTGCCATTCTGGAGGAAGAGAGGGGAGCAGCAGTAGGGGGACTCATAAGCCCTCATGATGGGCAAGGGGAAGGAAGCATCCCCCTCCTCTCAACAGTGGCCAATAAGCCCTCATGATGGGCAAGGGGAAGGAGCAGAGGCGCAAAGCCTGGGGAAGCATCCCCCTCCTCTCAACAGTGGTCGGTCCTCCTTCTGCAGCATCACATGGTGCCACCGCTTGGATTCTGGCCCCCAAATCTCAGGAGTCGGATCCTGCGGACTCGAGATCCAAACCTAACCCAAAGTGCCAAGAACCCAAGATGAGTTGACTCTTCTCCTCTTTGCTCTTGAGACTAGAGGATGCTTGTGAAGGAAAGGAGATCACAAGGGGCTGTTCAAAGTGTGGGGAAGATAGTATGCTTCAAAGCAGCTGGGTCATTCCTCAAGACCAAGGGAGTGCTAGAGCTGAGGGTCAGGACGGCTGGGTTGCACACAGAAGTCTCCAGGTTCAATTCCCCATGTTGGACCCACAGAGAGTGGTGGCTCTCCATGATTGGTATCTACAGTTGAAAGGATCTCAGGTTGGGAGCCGTAAGAAATATCTTTGCTGGGCACCCATGGAAAGCCACCACAGACAAAAGGAAACAAGACTGGGCTAGACTAAGCAATGGGCAGATTTAGCATTCATTTGGGTTCCTTCATGGACTGAGGTCCATGGGAACTTGCCACTGGGGAGGGAGAAACCCACCTATAAAGCCTTGAACTGATCAGAGCAAAAGCAAGAGGCAAAGGTAAAGGTAAATAATAAGGGAGCAAACAAACATCACTCACAGTGAGAGATGTTCATTTGCAGCCCAGTGGTGGTGCTGCGGGTTAAACTGCAGAAGCCTCTGTGCTTCAGGGTCAGAAGACCAGCAGTTGTAAGATTGAATCCACGCGATGGAGTGAGCTCCCGTCGCTTGTCCCAGCTCCCACCAACCTAGCCGTTCGAAAGCATGTAAAAATGCAAGTAGATAAATAGGGACCACCTCGGTGGGAAAGTCCCGGCGTTCTGTGTCTAGTCGCACTGGCCACGTGACCACAGAAGATTGTCTTCGGACAAACGCTAGCTCTATGGCTTGGAGACGGGGATGAGTACCGTGCCCTAGAGTCGGACACGGCTGGACTAAATGTCGAGGGGAACCTTTACCTTGACCTAACATCCAGAAAGCACATGTTCTCCCACCCCTACTTTGCAGAGCTGCAGTTGCTGAAATGCTTGGTTTACTCAAAAGCAATGCAATTCCCAGAAGCCTCCACCACCAGTTATGCTGGCTGGGGTTTCTGGAATTGCAGTCCAAGAACACCTGGGTGACCCACGGTTGGGAACCACTGCTCTAAAGAGCTACATAAATGTCAGTGGTTTGGGGATTTGGCTGCGGAGCCAGAGGTTAAGAGTTCGATTCCCCCCCCGGGGCTTCTGTGAGTACTGACAGCCTGTGTAGCCTTGGCCAAGCTGCCCAGTAATCCCAGGGCACCACAAGGAGAAGGGATGGGGGAAATCATTTCTAAGCATTCCCTTCCTGGAAAACCTTGAAAAGAGTCACCTTAAATCAGAATCAACTTGATGGCACGTGATTATTATTATTAGTAATTATTTTAATTACTCCCTATCAAAATCAACGCTGCCATCATTCACCCACCAACTCCTCCTCCCCATCCACCATCCTCCACCACTTGACATGCTCTCTTACCTAAAACCTTCCAAGAAATATTCCCCTGTTTAGTCAGTCAGATAAAGACACCAAGGAGAAAGGGGTTAAAAAGCCATGATCACTGGGAACAGCAAGATGAGTGGCCGTCAAAACGATGCCCGCACTTTCATATCTGTGGCTTTGGAAGCAAGTTGCTGGTGAAGAACACCGCTGAACACAAGACACAAACACACAACCGCTTTGGGAACGAAATGCAGGTCTACAAAAGGGCCAGCCGGCAGGTCTCCAGGAAAAGATGATGACAGCAAAGACGACCAGCTAGTTTCCTTGATCAACCCTGAAGTAAAGAGATGGAGGCTTTGCGGGATGGCTTGGTGGAAATTGTTCAAAGGGGGGAGGAGGAGGATATGGCTGATGTACCTTAGATTAGGTATGCTGTAGGATCACTCTTCTCCCGGCATAATATCAAAATTCAAAGTTATCCAAAAACGCCAAAAATCAGAACTTCCCAATTTGAAGGAAGATTTTGAGAGAGAGAAACAGAGAGAATTGCCTTTACACAGGCAGTGCTGAGCTTGTGGAACTCACGGCTACAAGGTCTGGCGATAATCCTACCTTGCACTTGGTTGCCAACAGAGAAGATGGACAGGCTTTGGCCAGAATCACAAAGGCATGGAGCCAGGGTCAGAGCACCTCTGGGTGTTAATGGCAGAGTCAAGG